CAGGAGATTAGACAAAAAACGTACAAGTAAAATAACCGGACGGTTGCCGTCGTTGGTAGTCAGTATGTTGATTTTAATTTGCGTTCTGTCCGAACTCTGTTAGTTTTACATTTACCTTCCAGGACCCAGACAGACGACTGATAAATTAGTAACAGATAGATACGTGTGCATGTGTTTGTACGGTACGTTACTTTTACCTCGCGTACCAAAATCGATGTGATGTTAATGACTTTTGGAGTTGATGGTATCTGTTTGTTTTCTTTTGTAACTCGTTAAATATTTTATTTAAGTACTTATGTACTACTGGATTTTTTTTATCACGCCCGGTATATGGCAATAGGCTCACCCCCTATAACATGGGAATCATAACATTAATAGTGAAAAGTAGATGTTACACTGCACAGTGGCATTAAGTGCCATAATATCCACCTCTGCCTACCACTGCGGGGATAAAAGGCGTGATGTTATGCTAAATATTTCTTGTTCACACAAAAATTACAGTAAATGGTGAATTCTTTAGAGAAATAAAGCGGTTGATGCGAAGTTAGAAGACAATTTCAAAAAACAAAGAGTGTTGTTAACAATATGTCTTTGGGTATTCAATCATCTGTTGTAAAGGGTATATTTTTTGTCTTGTTTGCTGTTCTATATGTACCAATCATAATTATTAATCTTTCTCCTTCGAAGAAAGACACAGATTTGTTTTACTAAAGCTGACGATGATATAATGAACTCCAGTCCTGATGAACCGTATGTTTGCTACTTGGAAGCACTCGTTGATCACCACTTAGAATAGGGGAATAGGGTGAAATATTATATGGACTCATACACTTTTGTACAATGCAAGTTTTGCTAGTCAATGACATTTTGTTTCTTGTACAGGATAAGGGGCAAGCAAATAGAGATCAGGTTCACCTGACGATAACTGATAAGCGTCACCCACACTTAAAATGCTCTTACAGTGCATTGTCGAGTTGCTAAAACTGAGTACACTCTTTTCTTGTACTCTTTCTTACAACAATAAAAGAGTACTAGTACTCTCTTTTTGAAAACTGTAGTATTGATTTGTTGCAATAATGATTGCTACATGACGTTGATGACCCCAGCAAAATGCCGACATCTTATCATCATCATTAGACATCTTTTGCCCTAAAAGTCACAATTATCTATAACATTATAGCAAAACTACACAATCACCGATCGATCACGTTTTCCGAAGATGAGTAAGGGTTAATTCACAACAAGACGCGACGCGACCAATACTGGAGGAGGCCAATGATTTCGCTCTGCACCCAAAGACGCATCGCATGTAATGTGTATCTTTTCTTATCTATACCTCTATATATAAAAGAAAGTCGTGTTAGTTACACTATTTATAACTCAAGAACCACTAACTCGATTTGGATGAAAATTGGCGGGGTGGTAGCTTAGAACCAAGAGACGGACATAGGATACTTTTTATCTAAATTTTTTTTTTTACTTTTACCGAAAATCACGAACGCATGAACGGGAACGGGGGGAATTGGGATTGCGCGTACGAAGTCGCGGGCAGAAGCTAGTATCTTTATATATAATATAATTCTTCTGTGAGTGTGTATGTCACTGAACTTCTCTCAAACGACTGGACCGATTTTGATGAAATTTTTTATGTGTGTTCAAGGGGATCTGTGAATGATTTAGATTCACAAATCAGCCCGGCAGATGGCGCTGCAGTCGATTTCTAGGTTATTTATCTATACCTATTCTTACAGGACAACGTCTGTCGGGTCCGCTAGTATGTAACTAAAAATGAATTTCCGTTCGTTAGTCTTGCTAAAACTCGAGAACGGCTACACCGATTTGTCTAATTTTGGTTTTAAATTGTCTGTTGAAGATCAGAGAAAGTTTAAAAAGTGAGTAAAACAATTTTAAGGTGGTACGAAGTTCACCGGGTTAGGTAGTGGGAAATAAATTTGTATTTTGAGCCACGCATTTAAAGTGTGCACCCAGCATCACGTCGCGTCGTGTCTAGAAAGAAAAAAAGAAGAAAAAAAAAATTATTTGACACATTGCATGCACATATATGTAGACAAAATTGAGAAATAAAAATATATATAAATAAAAATAAAAAATAAACATCGCAAAATTAGCAAAAATAGATGCATGCCCGTGTCGAACGGGCCTCCACCTCAGCATTATGTTGAGCGTGGTAACACTCAACGCTGGTCTTCTGGTGGCAGCCTGCAGTGACTCACGGATTGTAGGTCGAAAAGACAAATAATAAAGAAAATAAAAACAAACTGTATGTAGTGTGTTAGATACAAAAATAAAATTAATAAATAAAAGGGATCATACAAATACATAGGTAATATATTACAAATATGTACATGTTGTTAAGAAGTAATATTTAAGCTTAATATATGAAACAAATAAATACATCATAAGACGAAAAATAGCGGGAATAACATAAAGAAGTAGAAATTAAATATTAAATTAGTCTCGGTGTAGGCTGACCCTTATAAGACGAGATCGAGATGATATAATTATATAACTACACATTTTACGATGAATAAATGTCATGTCATTTTGCTTTAGATATAGTATTATTAGATTTGTTTATATTAAGTAAATGATTAAGCATGTTTTTCAAGGAGACCACGTATAACTACGTTATTATGAAATATTTCCACTATCAATTGTACTATAGAAGATCTTCACATTATGTTTAATACTAACTGCTAAATAATCCAACTGGATAAATCATTTTTCATTCGATTCATTTATGAATGATTTTAATTTATTCGTGTTGTTACATTGCATTATCGTCGCGACACATTTAAACAAAATTTTGAGAAGGGAAAATCATCGAATGACTTCTCCCGCCTGGGTAAGGCGAGATGGACCATCAGACTCTTACTAACTAAAAATTACCCCGTTCTTATTCCTGCACTTCGAGTCGGCAACCAGTTCAGTCCTCCGCGACATTGTATCGGCATCAGCCCTGTTGGGCCCCATGTATGGTGGTCTGCCAGCTTATGTATTAGCCTAGCAATGATTAGGTAAGTAGATACAAAAGATGTAACAAGCAAAACTATTACATATTTATAATTATAGTTAGAATGTCTCTACATAGAAAAAAATAACAACGATAATGAAGACCTTATTATCTAATTCAAGTTCAAAGGTTACTATCATGCAGTACTTAGTCGGTGATTATTATATTATATAATATAAGAAACAAGGTCGTGATTAAAATTCTTTTTAACTTGATGAATTGGCTTTAAATTATCTATTGATAGTTATCAATAGATAGTAGAGTTCAACTATTGAACAGCTGCACTTGCAATCACCTGCAATGAAAAAGAAACTCCAATGACCATTAATTAAAGTCAATATTTCTTTAACAAAACTGCGTACATTATAAAGTACGATATCAAAAGCTGAAAGTCATACACAGCCAGAAAAAAAAACTAGAAGTGCGTAAATGAAAGTCTGAGTACACATGAGACAGGTTGCAATCTCAGACGGTCGCATTCGAAATTCATAAGTCCGTGAGAGCACTTGCCCATAGTCGGCTCTCTCGCGATTCTGGACAAAAGACTCGCCCCAACCTGTGCCTTGTTCAAACACCAATGTTCCGCTCAAATATTTGTCTAATTATAAACTGTATGGCGTTACAGACGATGTAGCCATGTTTAAGAAATTTTCAGGTTGAAAATGTGGCCAGTTCTTTATGTCCCCTAAACCAAATGACATTTTATCTCTAGAATAAATAATAAATAGACAGAAATGTCAAAATAAGTTTAAGGATTTTGTCAAATGTCAAAGACAATTCTATACATTAAGTTTGTTATTCACCATTTATTCACTCAGTTTTTCAATTATTTACACTGTGGTTGAAATTATAAATAATAATAATAATATTTTTTATTTATTCAGATAATTGAGATCCATCAGACTGATAGTAAAGGAAGAACACAATCATACATAACTATTTAGGTACAATATTAATAAGCAATTAGTAAACAGGAACATAGTCCACTGCACTAATTCCCACATCAATGGACAGTCATGCCTACCGGCTATAGCAGTAAGGATACCGTGGCGACTTCCACGTATAAATGATACTTAAGAAGAACTGGCTTGTATAAATTAATATTCTGAATTCAAAATAATTGATCCTTGTAAATACCTCTGTAATGACAAAAAAAAAATGTTGAAGTTATAACATCAAACATGTGTTCTTGCTTTAATAATGACGTAATAACATAGTTCTTTATTTCAATTTTAAACTATACATAATTATTTACGGTCACATAAAAACAAGGTACTTGACAGTTGACAGGTATAATTATCCTTTACGATTTCCATATCACGGATTTTATAACATCCTAAGTTATATTACTTATGAGAAAACGTTGAATGAATAATAAATGTGAAGTAGAGATACCTTTTTTAAGGGGGGAAAATCGTCGAATGACTGTTCCCGCCTGGGTGAGACGGGAGGGAGTGACAGACTTTTACTGACTAAAAACCACCCCGTTCCTACTCCTGCACTTCGAGCCGGAGCCCCGGTAACCCGTTAGGTTCTCCGCTAACGAGAGCACGTGTGTAAAAATTAGCATGAAACAAATGAAAAAAGAAAACAAATATAGATAACAATAACTGTATTTTTATACATAACGTAATGATAATTAATTCATTAAATAATAACTCAATATGATGAGAGAATTTGCATTACACAAATGGAAAAGAAATCAAAAATTAAATAAACAACACTATATTTAATACAGTTAACGAAAACGTTAATAAATAACTCAATATGTACGATTCAATACACTTAATAAAATATTTACAAATCGGTAAAGTTCGAATACAAACTAAGTATCATAAGTTCGATATTTCAATGAAATATTAATTACCAAATATCTGTTGACCGATACGCCTTCAGAGATAACGTTTATAATTTATTACATTTATCTTACTTAAATATTAGTAAAACGACAAAACTTCAACTGAAATTAATGTTTCTTCTGCTTTTTCATTGATTTCGATTCCAATAAAGTTGATATTAGCTTGAACACTTTTATTATTGCGTAGAGAGAACCAAGTACTAAAACAAAAACGAAGGCATACACATCAATCATAGTATAAGCAAGCCAACTTAGCTCTAAAGCAGGATTCTTCATGTAATGAGCTCCCTTATTCCTTATAACATACTCAATCCAAAACATAGCAGTTTCTAGTGCGTCCATTGGTCTATCTTTAAATCTTGCTGAAAGTTCTTTAGCCTTAATACTGTACGAATCATTAGTAAGCATCTCTTGTAAAACCTCTGACAATGTTTCCTCATTAATGTCATGGTACTCCAAAATTTTCCCAAAACCAAACGATTCGGCTTGCAACAAATTGTTATACTGATCCGCGTAAATTGGAATCCCTATGATTGGAACTCCGTGGTAGATCGCCTCCTGAGTTCCTATTAGGCCGCCGTGGGATATAAACACCCTTATGTTCGGATGAGCTGTAATAAACGTGAATGGAATCAGTATATTTATTTAGATTAATATTTTGTTGTGACTTTATTTTGTTATTTTTTAGTATTACAAAGGAAAAGTAACCAAACTAAATCCATTGTATACAGGTTGAGTCAGTTAGTCGCCTATTAAAATATATTGTAAAAATGTGTATTGTTACATCACTGTCATCATGTCAGCCACAGAACTTTTCTCAATGACTTTTGGTTATCCGGTTGAAAATGCATCTGCATTCAATGATTCGTTGTGACCTTTATCAGGTCATCTGTCCAGATGTTATCAAAAATATTATTTACGTTATGTTCGAGTTTAATAAAGTGTGGTAGATCCAATCCATGCTTCGGCACGAATATGTCGGCACGTAATTGAGCCTCCGGTAACCTCACTCATACGACGAAACACAACGCAAGCGTTGCTTCATGCAGGTTTTCTTTGAGGCCGTGGTATCATTCCAATCGAGCCGGTCAATTCGTACCGAATCATGGCTCTTCCACACTTGTGGGGTGTTCGTTGGGTTCGGTCTGGGTGTCATGTGTATGTGAACTTGTATGTTTGTAAACGCACCCACGATACAAGAAAAATCCAAGTGTGGGGTAGTGTTTTAAAAAAAAAGAGTGACAACACACCAGCTCGTTTGTCGTCCTATATAATAAAGAAGTTTAACGAAGTTACTTACATAGTATTTCTTTTTGCGGCAGCCATTTTCTCACAATCAGGTTGTCAGGTTTATTTTCCAAATTATCGTCTTCCCATTTCCATAGAACTGTTTGTTTTAATTTCCTAAAGACGTTGAGAACTGCCCTCTTTTTCTCTTCAGGGAGCTCTGAACTGCGTACATTTGAACCAAAGTTCATATACACGGCACCGTCCTTCGCGTTATCTAATATCTTTTGAAGATCCTGTGAAATATGGAAAATGTTAAATTAGGTGGTGAACGTACTTTTGAATAGTGTTGCTTTGTAAAATCAGCAAAGTCATTGTAAGTTTTTTTTTATTGGCTGTAGAACCACGAGTATTTCATGATAGTTTGTAACCTATATAATAATTTGTTTATTTATTTCTCCTATTTTTTACATAATATATAAAATCATAACAGGTAAAAACATATTTTAGGTACGTAACAACAAACTTTTTAATATTTTATAAATTCAGCAATTAATGTGAGACAGGAGCCCGTACTAAGCAGAGCCTGTGTTATGGGTCTCCTGGCCTCCTAACTTCTAAGTTTTTTTTTTATAAGTTTTAATATTTTCGGGGAAACGGGATTTATACGTAACAGATTAACGTGGTTTTCAGTATATATACTACATTTTTATAATTCATAAAATTTCTTATTCTATACAAGGTTGAGGTAATATTAAACATTCCAAATTATTATTTAATTGTATATAATACAATTAGAGAGAACTTATACAATATTCATAAACACAGACAGTACGTAAATATTTAATTTAAACAATTCCAACAATGTTGCTTAATAAAACAATTTGTATTTAGAGGTACATTGTTTATTAAAATATTGTTTAAAACATGAATTAACTAAAAGGAAAGATAACCACAAATGTAAATTTGTAATGGATCAGATCAGCACAGATACTGAATTTGCGCATTGATTAAAAATTTTAATGCCTATAGAAGGATTAAAAAAACAAAGATAATTACACTTCTAATTCCTTAAAAAAAATATGAATGTACTGAATGTCGTAGTAAATGTGTACATATGATTATATCCCGCCAGTTGTGTTATATGTAACAGACATATAAACACAAAATCGCTGTTAAACATTAACAAAATTGTATTATACTTGAAAACCAAGACAAAAAAATAATGATAGTCCATAATTTACAAGTTACCATTCTAATTTGAGCCTAAAATAATAATGAACTAGAACCATTGTTGTTTAAACGTGGGCGGTATTCAAGCGAATAAGAAAACGATGTGTAACGTTGGTAATGATCTTAGATTGAACAATACAATGAATGTAGTAGGTACATAGCTTAATAGGTGTCAATTTGTACGATTATGTACCATTAGGTGTAGTACCTAAGGTGTATAATTAAGTACATTGTAAGATAAATACTCCTTACTTATGTACAATTTACATCAATTAGTGGTGTGAAATTAAAGTGTCTGTCACTGAAATACTCAAATGCTACTCAATTTTAAGGAGTGCTTAAAAATGAATATGAATGGTTCTGTCACTACAAATTCTCTGTAAAAAAACAAAGATGAAAAGACAACTTTAAATTGAGTATCCTTTCAGTATTTGGGTGTATGAGATGTTAAACTGCTGACTGTCGGGTGAATATGTTATAAGACTTCAAGAATTTCATTTCAGGTTAGACATGACATGGTATTACTGTACTTTTCGGTTTGGTGGTATTTAATACTTTAACTGTAAATTCCCTTTTTCCATTTTTTTATTTTTTCATAGAAATTTCCACCAAAAATACTGAGTTGCACACAATTTGCTCATCAAATAAATCAATTATACTATCTAATATTTCACAACCTAACCTAACCTTTTTTTTAATGGGGGGAAATCCTCATGGACCTAACCTAACCTATTTTGGAAATTCCATTGTAATATTGAACAATTTGTGTGCAAATCAGTATTTTTGTTTTATGATGTAATATGATTTTGTAATATGTAACTAGTTAATTTGTAGTAGATACAGTCATTTTTTTTTTATATGCAGTAGGTTATGATAGTGGAGAAATTTGGTTTGCTTATATTAAATAGAGGTGCAGTAAAAAATTCCCCTTTTAAAAATTCTAGTACGATGAGAATAAACTTATCACCATGGAACACATAACGTAATTCGTAGCTAAAAGTCTAGATTATTTACTTATTAATGTTAAACAGCAGCATTTTCAAAATATTTGCTGACTTGATGCTGGTGTGATCCACAGCTAACCAAACGAGGAGACAATTGTGATGATGACAGGGTATGAAAATTAAAAATCTAATTACTCCGTAAGTTAGGTAATGAAAAAATATTAGACACGTATTTTTTTATTTTGATATAAAACATTACTTGGATAAAACGAATCAAAGTTTAAGAGTGGGCGCTAAAACGTCATTTCTACGTATAAAGTACACATAGAAGTAACGTCACGCGAAATTTCAAATCAATATATCGTCGAAAGTATTCGTTTCTGTAAGATAATAAAAAATACGTGTCTAATGATTTAAAATAATCTACCAGACGGACATTACAATAAAAATTAGGCATCTACCCTATTGCAAACCCGATCCTACATAGAAAATTGATTTCTAGAAGTAGATGTCTATCGAGTAATAAGGGTAGCCATTATTATAGCTATGATTTGTATATAAATCACAAAAGATCACCATAACTGCATCAACTAATCGATATAAATAATTATCATTCTACTACTAGAGATAAATATGTGCATACAGCCAAAGTAGCATGGAACTAATTAATATTGTTTATGACATGTTAAAGTAGTGACACGGAAATAATGGGCCGGGTCTGTAGGTCAATAAATCAATAGACCGAACGGTTAATATACAATGATTGAAGCGGCAGCATTCAATATAAGGAAGAATATAAACGGGCATTAGTACTTTTGTTTTTGCAATTCCACTAGTGTATTGTATTCATATACCTCTACATCAAGAATACTATAATTCTTTTGAAACGTAGGCCAGAATACATTGATTCAAACCCTAATATTCACTGCCTGCCTGCCTACTACACTGCCGGGCAAGGGGTCTCGGGTTCGGTTCCCGGGTCCGGCAAAGTATTACAGGGTTTTAAAAAAAATCTCAGTAGTAGCACGGAGTCTGAAATTGTGCCCGGTATATGGCAATAGGCTCACCCCCTATTACATGGGACTCATAACATAAATAGCGAAAAGTGTGTGTTACATTGTACAGTGGCATAATGTGCACCTCTGCCTACCCATTCGGGGATAAAATGCGTGACGTTATGTTATGTTATTCACTTTAAACCAGGAAATTATGTAAGTTAGGATTCCAAAGATAATAAAGAGCAAGTAATTTTTAGATTAAGTATTACCTATTGCAAATGTTTTCGAAATAATGACGAGCCATGTCACGCGGTAGATGTCCTTCGTGTCAATATGTGTGTATTCTGCGTGTAAGTCTATAGCAGACAGGTACTACAGTAGTTTTTTCAAGAGACTATGTCCACCTTTTTTGTCAGTATTTAAAAAAAAAAAACTTTGCCCCACTCTAGGATTTTCCCTGTGTCATGGGTGCGTTTACAAACATGCAAGTTCACGTACACATTACACCCAGACCCGGAACAACAATCTGTGAATCACACAAAGAGTTGTTCCGTGCGGGAATCGAACCCGCGACACATTCCGTAGCAGCCGGTTGCGCCATCCGTGCAGATAAGACACATATGATTAAAGCATCAAAACAATGCCACACATAAGAATGTGTCATGGCACTAGACAATAGATATATATAAGTATAACTTTATAATATTAACTAGAATTGCACATTGTAGTCTCAAGCATAATAAGTTAGGTACTGCATGTGGTTTGGAACTGTGCCTAAAATGTTGAAATTGCACAGTTCTGCCTCAACCATAACGACAAAATATGTATTATAATTATCTTGAAATTGAAACAAATTGCTAACAAAGATTCGCGGAAACCTAGCATGTACCTATGTATGTGTGTGTGTGTGTAGAAAATTTTTGTAATTATGTTACCAAATGTGTATTCTGCTCTGCCTACACCATTCAGTTTGAATATGCAACTTACGAAATGATAATTCTATCAACATCAGTTTTTGAGTATTTTTACGTAAAAACTACTAAAAAATATTGTATTAATATATTTATTCTATAGGTATTTATGTGTGTAGTATACATATTACATAACTTTTTTTTTCATTGTTTTCTGGCTTCGCATCAACCACTTCATTTCTCTGCACTTCCCTATGATTGACCGTAAGAGAATGCCTTAAGGCATTAAGTCCGCCATTCACTGTATTTTGTGAAGAAGATAATAAATAAATAAATGTTTGTGAAACTCGACATAGAGATAGATTATATGGGGTGCGGTGCCAGAAGACCTCCCCGTGGTGCACCCTGGGTGCGGGCGACAGTCTCCCTAGCGGGGGTGATAGGGTTGGAGTGACTGTCGCCCGCAGCAGACTTCTGGACTGGGCGGGCGAACCCGATAGGGTTCTGGAGGCGGCGGGCTGTGTGCGGAGGCTCATAGCCCGCGCTTCCGAGGGGCGTTTCTCGGCCCGTCTCTCTGGACATAGCAGAGAGCGTGGCGTAGAGGCAAGGGCGGTGCTCGTTGTGCACTCACCCTGCCAGCGAGCAGCATCGGGACACAAGCTGTCCCCGATTGCAGCCGTCGATATCGTAACCCGTAAGGAGGTCACGGTCATGTTTTGTGACTCTGAACGGGACGAGGGTCTTGGCTTGGTCGCCCGGACCGCGAGGAAGATAACCTCTATAAAAAATTCCTCCAATACTAAGTTCTGGTGCGCGGCGAGAGTATGCATGGCTGAGGAGTAGTGTCAGTCGCGAGCGCACCCCCAGCTAGGGGACCAGTGGAACCTCTAGTTGGGAAACAAATGAACACTTACCCAGGTACAGGGGGCACTGCCTGGGTGGACCGAATATTTCCCCCATACTCGTGGGAACTTTATGGAGTTGAACAACAAATTAAAAAAAACCACAACCGGAGGAGGAGAGTGCGGGTGAGCTTGGCTCACCTGCAGAGCGAGAAGGGAGCCCAAGGGGCTCTGGCGCCCGTGGGGAGACGCTGGACACATCTATGCCCCACACACGGGCATCAATTACGATGGTGTCGGACCCTGAGTCCGACACATCACTGGCGGATCGGCTGAGCGTGAGCTCGAAGGGCTCACGCCGTCGCGTG